AGTCAGAGACAGGCTTCCCGACCCTAGGTATGTAACGCCATGCAAATAAAGGAAGACTTCCCTTTCAGGAACATTTCAGTAGATACTAAGGTAACTGTAAGATGCCACAGAAAAGAATATGGACAGCATGACAAACTTTCCACCTTCATTCTGCACAGGGATGGATGACGGGAAGCCATCGCAGGAAGGAACAGGTTTTCACGTTTGGGAAACTCCCCGCCAACTACACAGTCTTGATAATTTATGTTTTTAAGCTAGGTAGTCCTAACTTGACCGAAGATGATGTCTTCCAATTATCTGGGAAGCAGGGAAGACCACCAGAGTCCTGTGGTGCATTCCGTACTTGGGTTTTAATGTTATTCCTGCCATAGAATTGTCTAGATCTATATAATTTATATTCTTGATTTTAAGAAAGAATATTCAAATGTCCTCTAAAAATTCAGCCTTTGGTCCAAGGAAGTCCTTCATAGCCAGCAGACAATTCACATCATTATTAGAAATGGATGACTTTGGGAAGAAAGCAAGAAGCCCAGAGGAAGGAAAGAGGCTGACCTACATAAAGGCTGTTCCCTCATTCATTAGGCAAGCTGGCACCTCCACATTCATGCCTCTGTGCTCACATTCAGGGTCAAACAAGAATTTTCCTGTCAGACTGCCAAGGTCACGGTCTCATTTCCATGTCTGAGAGCCCGAAGCTTGAATAAAGGGCTTCAGTTGATTTCATGTGAAGCAAAACGGAACGCCAGTGCCATTCAGAGGTACACACTAGGAAGGTTTCAGCTGGCACACGGCCCCTCCCCCGTCCTGGGGGCTGGATTTCCAGGAGGGCGGTAACAAAGGCAGTGCCCCAGCTCTGCCTCTCCTCGGTGGGCCTCCAGGACTGCTGCAGAGACCAGGCTCCCGGGACAGCCTCCCACTTGCTCCTAAGTGTGACAGTAGGGCTGACTTTTCTCTGAAGCAGGTGGTACCCAAAGCTACCGCTTTGTCAGGACTTGGGAGGAGATGACCTCAAATGAAGGGAGCCCCTGACTTCTAGGGACGGTGACTCAACTCTATTACCTTATTGCTGTCTTTGAAAGTCTGGAGGGATAAAGGCAGCGGCAGGAACTCTGTGAGTCTTCTAATAGCTGCAGTTTGGTGGAGGGAAAACTGACAGGAAAGGATTAGCTTCCAAATTGAGGGATGAATGATAAAGTGCCAATTTGTGCTAAGAGAACATAAAAAAAGAAACGCGACAGAGAAATGATAACCACTGGAGGGGCACAGGGACAGAATTTGGTGAGTGTGAAGAAACTATAGCAAAGCAAACTGAAGACCTCAGACATCTCAGTCTTCCCAGAGAATGTCCACTGATGATGTTATGGGGTGATCTCGTGATTGTCAGAACAGTTCTTCAATTCACAGGCATTCCTGTCACAGTCTCTTGGGTCAATGCCCACACTCTCCATCCCACCTGCCGCCCTGAGGCTTGGCATTCGGGCGTACAGGTGGCTCCTTAAATATCCATACAAACCCACCACTATAGTTCAGTCTGTCCTGGAGCCAAAGGAAATGAAGCAGAGGAAAAAAAATGGTTGTTTTTTAACAGTATTCAGGCAATTCACCCACAGTTCACTTAATTCCAGAGAGCAACTGCTGATTGTTCAAAGTGCAGGTTCTGAGGGATTCAAGTACCACAAGGATTTCAGAAGAGTGCTTGAACCCAAAAGTGACGCGCCCACTCGAGAAGACATTTTGGAAAGATCTACCCAACAGACAACACAGAGAGGCTAAGGATTACAAACTGACTTCAAAAGAACACCCTCTCCTCTCCGCTGGAGATACATTTCTTCAAACTCAGGTCCAACTTTTGAATTGTTTGGTATCAAAACCCAGAGTTAGAAGGACCTGGGACGAAAATTACAAGTGAGTGATTAAGACTCTAAAATCTCTTTATATGAAAGGGGGAAAGGGGAAAAATTGCAAGTCCTAGCATTTACATGCTCAGCCTGGGAGATGGATTTCCAGGCTCCCCCAGACAGATGTTCTCTCAAAACTCAGTATACTGAGTTTGTCACTGAACTTCAGAACTTGGTGGCCATCTCGGCAATCTGCCTGCTCTAAGTCCCCTATTTAACAGGAGAAGAGAGTCAAGTCCAAAACGACTTATCCAGGGTCATACATCCAGGGAGAAGCAGAGCTAGGGCTCAGCCCAAATATCTTCTCCCTTTTCGGGACACCACACTGAGATCATACACCAGGCTGTGCTGCTTTGGAGGTCTCTGGGAGCAAAGAGACGCTGTGGCTGATGAATGTCAATTAAATGAGCCACCAAGACGTTTCTAATTTAAAGGCGCTGCAGTATGGTGTTTCCCTCCGTTTGCTGGGTGATGAGAATTCCCTGGGGCACTTGTCAAAAATTAAAATCCCCAGAGCCCTTCCCAAGCCCACCCACCGAGTCAGCCTCTCCGAGGGGAGGGATCTGGGAGGCTGAATTTTTAGACAAGTGTCCCATGCAACTCTCAGCAGCAGCAAGGTGGGAAGAAGGTGTCTTAGGAGATGCTGAAAAGGAACTGGCTTTAGACTCAGGGAACTTCCTTTGTTTCAGAGGCAAAACTCAGGCCCAGGAGGCCTCAGGCTCTCAGACCCCCAAAGCTAAGTCATTTCTTCAGCATTGGTCAGAGACACTGACTTCTTGTTGGGGACTCTACGCAGGCACATACAACCATCACAAAGTGACATACATCCTTCATGGTTCTCAGGGAAAGGCCTTTTGATTGGCAAAGCAAAACTGCAGTTCGGATGCGTTCCTTAGCAGGAAAACTAGATGTAACTGGCGTGAAAGCAATCAGATACTGAAACTGGACAGAAGGGTGAGAATCTTGTAGCTTGTCACCATGGCTAACAATGCAACGGAGAAAACCCGTAACTAAGCACAAAAATAGCCTGGAGCTCCCAGGGAGAGCTGCCTACTTGAGACAGATTGCATGATGGGTGGCCCCCACTGATGGTCTGAGGTTAGATCCAGGTCACTGAGGGAGATGGGCGGCCTGAATCAGCCATGGGTTCCAGAGGAGGGCTGCTGGAGCGCGCCAGAGTCCGGAGGCCTCATTCTAATTCGGCTTCCATCTGCTCCGTGTCTGAGCACTGGGACTTACTCCTTTCCCATTGGCAAATGGCATTGGCATACTCCACCACCAGCTTATCCATCCATGTCAGTGGCTCAGGGAACAGCACGGAGCCCTCGAAGAAGCCCAGGTGGCCCCCGTGCAGAGGCAGCACAAACATGACGTTCTCCCGCTTCTCTGTAGGGGGAAAGGCAGCAGAAGGACAGCATCCTATTAACTCCAGAGCAAGAGAGCAAAGGTGAACAAGCCGGGGAGCCTGGGCACTCCTCAGAGGGTACCGAAGTAGGTATCCAACCATGCGCATGTGCTGTCTTTTCTCAAGAGGGCAGGCAAGTCAGCCGGACCTCATGAGTTTGGTGTATAACGGGCACCAAAAGGGCTGGGGACACAGCTCAGTAGGAAAACACTGCCCTAGCAGATGAAACCCCCAGAGTTTAATCTCCAGCACCGCCCGAATAAAGAAGTAACACCCAGTTCATAGAAGGGGCATCAGCTTCAGAACTCCTTAGAACCCATACTTACAGCTCTGCAGACCCAAGCTGTGCCATGCCCCCCACATGACTAAGTTACAACCTTAGGGGTGAAGGAGAGAAAGTCAGGAGTCCACGCTGTGCTGGTGGTACCAGAGTACCCCAATAGCTTCTGATTGGCTATGCTTCCCAACTTTGTGTGCCTGGATTCCTCAGGGTATCTTGCTGAAATGCAGACCCTGATTAGGTAACTCCAAGGGTGGGAAGGCGCAGAGGAGAGGATCACGGCACTAAAGAGTGCCCTTTGTCAGAGCAAAGGACAGTGTAATGCCATCAATGCTTTCTCATGCCAGGCATCAATCTTCAGGACTAAGGTTTAAGCTATAAGGTGTGTTAAAAGATGCCCCGGCTCCCAGTGCCATGAACTAAATAAATGGCTGTCCTGAAAGTCCAGCTTCAGGCCCACATTTAGTTTGGATCCCATGGCTACTGGAGAGGTGTGGAGAAGAGGCAGCCAAGTTCAGTAGGAAATGCTTTTTTCTTTGTTTTTTTTGGGAGGGGGGATAGTGGACGAGGCTCTTGTCTCCCTCCCTCCAGTCTTCCTTTCTAGTTGCTATTTTGTACATTTGTGGGATAGCATGAGTCCTGTGAAAGTTATTTTTGATTCAGTAGAGAAGTGCTGTTGCATGTGGCCGAGTGGGCTGTGGTGTGGTGTGCTGGGAGTCCGAGGGTGGCTGGGGGTTGACAGGAGATAGCTTCTGTCATGAAACAGGCTCTCACACATGCAGCCTCTCTCCTGAGCAGGACAGAAGCTCCGCAGGGCGGAAGCCCTTCCTCTGTTCCCTTATCTACTCTTGCAGCTGTGGGGGGGGGGCACAGGGTTAGCTCTTCCTTTAGGCTACTATCTTTACAAGAGGAAATGTAATCACAGAGGACCGGAGATGATACCCCAGGGATCCGAAACTACAATGAGCAGTCACTGGAACCCAAGCCTTTCCTCCCGTTTCCTCTCTCTGCCTTCCCTGTAGCGCCGACCACAGAATGGATTGAGTCTGCACAGTGCTTCCGTGAGCAACGTTCTCTGCCATTTCAGCTGCTTCTAACCTCCAGGCAGACGGAGGGGCTGTCATCAGAGGAAGCAGAACTGGCTTTGTTTTGTTCTGCTTTAGGGCCAATTTTAGTTCTAAATATCTCTTTGAGCCAGGCTCTCCCATTTAATGGGACAATAGCTCTGAGACAATACTGGTAATGGACATCAAAAATGTCCTGTCTCCTGCACCAGGATGGAAGTCTAGCAGGTTCTACCCAGGGCCCTTTGCAACCTAGGACTGACTATCAGTCGATGAGCTGCCTCTCTCCCAGAGGCTTGTCTCCATGCTGACAGAACAGTGAAAGTGACAACATTTACAGGGGTAGTCTGCTGTGTGGCTGGGGACAGTGGGAAGTGACTCACCTGAGAGAGACTTTGGAATGGTTAGAAGGCTTTCGTGCACCAAGGGGTCATCAGCTGCATTAACCAGCATAAGAGGCACGTATATCTGCAGCAAGAAGGTAAAGTGGAGTTAAACACCCGCTCCCTACCAGACACGCCTTTGAAGCCAAGGGAAATGCTCACAGCTCTGTTGGTTGGACCGGAGTCTTAGGGGTGCCTCACTGTCACTGGCAGCGAGATGAGGGACAAGTCTGCTGTAAGCGCCACCTGCCAGCAGGTTATACAGGAGCAAAGCTGCCTGTGCCTTAGGAGACCTGTGTGCTCATGGGAGACAGGGCGTAATGGGTACTTAACGACACAAGTATTTCTGATTAATTTTAGTGTTTCAGATTAGCCACACTTCTCAGAAAAATGACGGCATGAAGATTTCTGTCTGTCTGTCTATCTATCTATTTCTCTATCCTTCGGCTTACATTATAAAAAAGAAAACTGAAGTGCATCCCACTAGAGGGAAGGGGACCTTTTAGAAGAATCTGAAAGATGCAAACAGGAGTGAGAACCAGCTGTGCACACTCATAATCCCAGAACTTGGGAGGTGGAGGCATAAGAATTTGTGAGTTCAAGGCCAGCCTGGGAGATATATACCGATATATCTATATCTATATTTATGTCAAGACCTTATTTCAAAAAAGCAAGCATTGGCACTGTCTCTCAGTGGCACAGCACCGAAGTGGCAGATGGAAGGCCCTAGGTTCAATGCCTATTCCAGCTCCACTGCACAAACAAGCAGGAGTGGCTGGTGGACGTCAGGGAGCTCTTGGCAGGCCTGTGCTCAATATGCACATTAGTAAAGCAGATAAAAAGAGCCTCCTTGTGGTTTAGAGTGTAGACGGGCCGAGGGGGGCACTCAGACCATCCCGAGCTGCCATCGAACATACCGAATGGCTGTGCTCTCCTGGAACTCTGGCATGTCAAAGGCCTGGGTGAATGACATTGACTCAGGAGAACCCATAACTAAGACAGCCACGGAACCGTGATTCACGACCATCCCCGTGAGCGGAGGATCCGTGGGCCAAACCCACAGGTGGACACTGATAAACAGGGAGCCGTGTGCTGGTGTAGTAAGAGCAACGGTGCATGGCAGAATCAGAGACTGGTTTGTGCTGGTTCAGGTAAAAATATGGGAACTGTGTTGGCCACAAACTTAGTAAACATAAGGTTTACTGTAGCTGCTAAAAGAACAAGTCAAAAACCAGTCACCTTTAATTTTTTTATTATATCAGTTTGTGCATCTGTGTGTGCTCATGCATGTGGGTCAGAGGACAAGCAGGGAGCTACTTCTCTCCTTGCACCGTGTGGGCCCTGGGTTTGAACTCAGAACTCCAGGCCTGGAGGCAAGCGCCTTCACCTGCTGAGCCATCTTGCTGGCCTTCTTTTTGTTTTTGAGTTGTGGTCTTTCCATGTAGCTCTGGCTGGCTGCTGTACTTGCTATGGACCCCAAGTTGGCACCAAACTCACAGCAATCCCCTGCCTCAGCTTCTTAAGTACTGGTTATTACAGGTGCATGCTACTTTGCCTATTACATGTTTCAGAAGGCAAGTTCCTTCTCACTTTGATACAAACCTCCACCTAATTTATTCTGTGTTTACCAGGGAGTGGCAGAAATCTGGGCGTTCAGTCCTAGACAGCACGTTAATAAGATACATAGGGCCACGAGAAAGGGTCAAGGGCAGAAAGCAAGCCAGATGCATCTCCCATGAAAAACCACACCAGAAAACAGGTGCTTCTACTATTCTACTGTCAAAGGATGTCTAAAAAGCTAGATGCTGCAAGCAATTTCTCAGACTTGAGAGAAGTCTGGTCGGAGTGCTGCTCTGGGATTTAGAGTGTGGCAGTCACAGAGAGGTATCCGACTCAGCACAAAGTCCGCATGACCAACTAGAGTGATGCTGACCAGACTCTGGCTCTGCTTCCATCGGTGAACTTAGGAAGGGTATTTGCTGTACCACGGGCAAAGCTGGCTGTGGTGACACTGATTCTGAGGTGGCCCGCCACTCACCCTGTGCAGGTATCTCATGCAGCTTTCTTCCTCATAATATTCCTTCAGGGAGTTATAGCCATGGAACTTTCTGGAACACAAGCACATATACACACACACAAAGGTAAAACAACATGTTATAGAATTGAGTTGATGACTCTCTGGTTTCCTCACTAATGCACTGCAGTGGTAGAATCCACACAGGCATCGACTTCACCAGGGTTCTAAGCTATTGCACTAAAGTGAATGTAGGAGGCAGAGTGGAGTCAAGAGCATGGGTTTGGGATCTGGATTCAAATCTCGGCTCTGCCACTTTCTGGTTGGGTAATCTCAGGCAAATGCTCAAGTTTCCTGGGCCTTGGCTGTCTCACTGGAAAGTAGACCAAAGACAGGGCCTTCCTTGATGGTGCCGTGACACTTACGATACGGAAGTGCTTATGTGCACCTTGCCTGGAGAAATCTCAGTACTAACTGTTATAATCATCATTGACTGCTGCACCTTTTGAGGCAGCATAAAATTGTTTAAGGGTTCACAGGCATGCATGGACTAGACCTTTGTTTTCGGGAGGGTTACCCTGGAGCCGCTGGAATGAAATGCGCCCGAGTAAGACGTGACAAGAGTGCTTTGAAGTTACCAGTTCTGTCCACGCAAGGAGCAGTACCTGTCACTGACCACCCGAGGTTTCACAATACCAGAGAGGCTTGCAGCTCTGCTCAGCTCTGGGCTGAGAGGCCTGGAGAATTCAGCTGGGGCTCTGATGTCCTGATACCCCAAATTCTACCGCTGGCCAGGAGACCTCTGAACCTCCTTTTCTTTCCTACCTGGGGTGGGGCCCCTAGTCTCTAAAGGTGGACTTTCTGTTTTGATTTAGATCTCTGAGATGTCCTGCCTCCCCCAGAGCTGTGGAGCTCTTCCACTTCCAGCCTTCTTAGGTACCTCAGTCTGGAAATGACCCAGAAGGCTCAGGCTAGACCACTAGGGTCTCCTGGTGGGAAAGGAGACTGTACAGAGATCATATCCAGGATGCGTGAATCTGTCCTCGGTAGTCTCCCCAAAGCATTCCATTCCTCCAGCACCACTGGTGAGCACTCTGTGAGGGTGCTGCCAGGGTGGTTTGATTACAGACCCGCTACCACCCAGTACTACTAATGATGAAGAGCTTTAGGAGAATTGAGGGACTTTTTCTTTTGGGCTTCAGTTAAGAAGATGGATAGGGGCTGGAGAGATGGCTCAGAGGTTAAGAGCACTGACTGCTCTTCCAGAGGTCCTGAGTTCAATTCCCAGCAACCACATGGTGGCTCACAGCCATCTATAATGAGGTCTGGTGCCCTCTTCTGGCCTGCAGGCCTACATGCAGACAGAACACTGTATATGTAATAAAGAAAGAAATCTAAAAAAAAAAAAAAAAAAAAAAAAAAAAAGATGGATGGGAAGTTTATATTAAATTAAAATTAAATTCCTTTTCTCTCCTTATTAGACACCACAGTAAGTTATATACTGTACCCTAAGAGGGCTGCTGGGCATCATTTATTTCTGTGGTGGTTTGAATGTAATTGAGCCCCATAATCTCACAGAGTATGGCCTTGTTGGTGGAAGAGTGTCACTGTGGGGGAGGGCTTTGAGGTTTCCTTTACTCAGGATACTGCCCAGTGTCTTAGTTGACTTCCTGTTGCCTGCAAGATGTAGGACTTTCAGCGACTTCTTCAGCACCATGTCTGCCTACATGCTGCCATGCTCTCTACCATGATGATAATGGACTGAACCTCTGACACTGTAAGCAAGGCACCCCAATTTCCTTATAAGAGTGTTTTCCTTATAAGAGTTGCCGTGGTCATGGTGCCTCTTCAAAGCAATAAAAACCCCAACTAAGACAATTTCCATCTTTTAGATATATTAGCAATTCCATCGTTTCTATTTGCTTTGAGAAGGCAGTAACGGGCACCTTCAAGTTTACCTGGTGTGAAAGGAGTCTCATGAAGAAGAAAAACAGAGCTCTCATGGCCTCAGGCCAATGGCCACTATCCAAGGAGGACCTGCTTGCTTTAGGTATATCTAAAGGCCTCAAGGGATTGTGAAATGTGAAAGACAGTGACAAGGGCTGAGACCAACTCCACAAGTGAAGTCTCTAACTTCAATCAGAAGGCGCCAGTACCAGCAAAGGTGAGCTCACATGCCACGAGGCCAGGCAGGGAAAGACTGAATCAGAGAAGTGGGTGGGGATTACGTCTTCCACTCAGAAGCATCTTCACCTCATCCCCACCCCAGAAAGTGGTGCCATGTGCTGTCTGAAATTTACAGGTCTCTTGGTCTACCTTGGGTCATCTGCTTTTGATGGACTGAGCCATTGACGTCTGGATAAGCCTGTTACCATGTACAAAAACTACTTCTTGGGGGCACTAATCTTGCCCGGTGTTGAGGCAGGACATACAGTGTACAGGGACCACTCGGTGGGCACCCCTCACCCTCCAGTTCAAGCTGCCTGTGCCACATGGGATGAATGGTCATAGTCTACCCATTTCCAAGAGATGAGGATTTTCCTACGATCTCTTCCTCTAAGCATTAGACTCTTATTGAGATGAAAAGAAGTCCCTGAAGCGAGTGGAGCAGCGCAGTGGCGCTGGGCAGAGCTGACCGGCAGCCTCTGGGGACCTTGGGGACTCACCTCATCACATTGTCGTCAATCTGCATCAGGGATGTTGCTGTGTAGAGCCGGCTCAAGTCCGTGTCCTCCAGGCTCTGGGGTTTCTTCACATGGTCTCCAAAAAGAGCTTGTCTAGAACAAGACACAGAAGTGAACAAGGCGATGAAGGAGAAACCACCACAGCGGAGCCTGCTTCCCTGTCCCCTGTCCCCAGGCAGACCAGGAGCGCCAGTCGCCGTGGGACCAGAGATATGGTAAATTAGACATACAGCCCTCCAGTTTTTGATTTATTTTGGTTTTTGTTTTCCTGGGTATTGAATCTAGACTTTTTTTTTTTTTGGTTTTTCGAGACAGGGTTTCTCTTTGTAGCTTTGTGCCTTTCCTGGAACTCACTTGGTAGTCCAGGCTGGCCTCAAACTCACAGAGATCCGCCTGGGTCTGCCTCCCGAGTGCTAGGATTAAAGGCGTGCGCCACCACCGCCCGGCGAATCTAGACTCTTAAGCGTGCTAGGCAAGCACTCTACTGTAAGCTATAGCCTCAGCTCTTATTTTTTATTTCTGTTTTTCAATTAGCCTGGTCCCCTGTTGTCCAGGCTAATTTTAAATCCCCTACATAACCCTGGACTCCTGAGCCTCCTGCCTTTACCTCCCACATTCATGGATTACAAGCACGTGCTGCCATGCCTGGTTCCTTTGAGACTTTAGAATATCCAAGATGAGCATGTATAGGAAAACGAACATTAAAGCCCTACTTTCCTTTCAGGGTACCAAGACAAACTGAAGACTAGGTTTCGAGTTGGCTGGCTATTATACAACCTTTAGCACAGGGGAGGAAGCCCGGGAAGAGCCTTTTGGAAGAGTGATGGACAGCAGGCCAAACACGGGGATTCAGGTTGACACTGATGCTGATGCCACCAGCTCTTGGCAGGTCTTTGTTCCCTTCCCAGCTGTTTGTGTTGCTTCAGAAGGCAGCTAACCAGCAGCCCCTTCAGCATCTGGCTAAACCAGCAGCTCTCCACAGTGCTGGCCGAAAAACTGTGTACCAGCACTCTTGCCATCCACAGGCAATTAGTTTGAGGATATTCCTCAGATGCTGGATGGTGGTGGCACACGCCTTTAATCCTAGCACTCAGGAGGCAGAGGCAGGTGGACCTCTGTGAGTTTGAGGCCAGCCTGGTCTAGAGAGTGAATTTGAGGACAGCCAGGGCTACACAGAGAAACTCTAGTCTTGAAAAACAAACAAAACAAAAACAATAACAACAACAACAACAACAATAAAATAAACAAGAAAGAGGATATTCCTCAGAGATCCAAACCCATAGATACTCCAGGATTGATATTTTTGGTGGTGGGATGGAATAGGGTGGGGTCTCTTTGTGTTACCTAGGCTGTTCTCAAACTCCTAGGCTCAAGCAATCTTCCTGCCCCAACTTTTTGAGTAGTTTGAGCACATGACAAGGACATGTGCCACCATACCTGGCTTTAGGATGTGCATGTAACTCTGCCATCTCCTGTATGTTTAACCATCTCTAAATTACTTGTACTACCTAAGACATTGGGAACGGAAACAGTCCCTAGACTTGGCTATACTGTTTAGGGGATGAGTAAGAGGTAAACTTGCGGATGTGAGGGTGGTGGGGCTGGCTAGGCCGGTGACCCTTTCATTGCTCACAGCTCCCTGTGTGTCTCTGTGGAAGCCGCATGCTTGGTCAAAGAGGGCGACCTTCCCTAAATAGAGAACGGTCTTCGGTCAAGGGCACCCAAGTAGCTATGCTCCCCTGCTGGAACCCCCAAACACACTCTCAAGAGGAGAACTTGCACACATTCAGCAGACAAAACCTTTGCAGGGCTAATTGTGCTTCCCACCCGCTGTGGTGTGGACCTGTGCATCTGTGGAGACAGAGGCCTGGGTCCACACAGTGGTCATTTCTATGGAGAGGAATGTCCACTGAGGACACGACGATGAAGGCAGGGAGGACAATGGGCAGGGTGGACTTCCCTTCCAAGCTGGCGCTCTCAGTCACGCAGCAGAGGGAGGACTGAGTCTGCTTTGAGGGTTGGCGCGACAGTGGGAAACAGTCATGCCAGAAATGCAGTGTTCTGGTATCCATTTATAACCTATCTAAAAGGAGAGCAACATCCTTCCTTAGGACTTACTTTTTCCCAAATAAGGTGGCAAAAGACTGAATTCGTAACCTAAAGTTTCCCTCAGATTTCAGTGAGCTGGCTTTCTATGGTAAACACACGAACATGCCTTTCCAATTTGTTAGCAATTGCATAATGAACCTTCGGGACTTTTTAGCAACACTCCCTTTCAGCAGAACAAATCTTCCCTTGGAGGACTCACTGTCCATTCTAGAGGTGCAGACACAAGGACTTTAAACTTGGCATCAGCAATCTAACGTCACCCTGTCTGGCTAGAGAGCCTTGGTAAATCCCCAGACCCACCGGAATTTTGGCAGTGAGGGCGATTGTTGACTCGGCCACAGCTCAGGGAGCAGAAGTCAACCGACCTGACACAGGACCCGAGGACGTGCCTCACAGCTCTGTAGTTTGAGGGGCTGTGAGCGCCAGCCTTGCTTAGGAGCCATGTGAGTCCACCCGCGGGAGGCTCAGCTTGCCCTGGGGTGTGTGGCTAAGCCAGGCTAGACAATGTTGTTTTAACCACTAGGGTGGAGGGAGGAAATTAAGAGGTGGGCACAGGGGTGCGCGCCTGTGGGCCCAGGATGAAGGAGGCTGCAGCCGGAGAATTGCTTGAACTTAAGAGTTTAGGGCCAACTTGGTCAACATAGTGAGACCACATCTAACACACGCCCCCCCCCCCAAATCACCCCCAAACAACCAACCAACAAAAAGACCAAGACACTGATCACTTAGAATGCTTTTTTTTCTTAGGGTGGTGCCAAGAGTCCCCTCCAAAGTCTGTTTCTTGAGTGTTCCCTGGGTGCCAGGCTCTAGGGCAGTGCTGTGACCCTTTAATACAGTTCCTCATGTTGCGGTGACCCCCAACCATAAAATTATTTTAGTTACTATTTCATAACTGTAACTTTGTTACTGTTACGAATCATAATGTAAATGTCTGTGTTTTTCCGGCAGTCGTAGGTGGCCCTTGGGAAAGGGTCACTCTACCCCCAAAGGGGTCATGACCCACAGGTTGAGAACTGCTTCTCTGGATGGGGGGGAGTGTGTGTGTGTGTGTGTGTTTGTGTGTGTGTGTGTGTGTGTGTGTGTGTGTGTGTGTGTGTGTGTGTGAGAAAACATGTCCAGCATACTTGAGGCACAGGACAGACCCAGGGAAGCCTCAAAAAAGCAGCCTCGTGTGAGAAGGGCAACCTAGGTGGGCCTTAAGGAACGGTGTGGGCCCAGTGGGCAGACGCTGACAAGGACAGAGGGAGCAGGGGTCTCCACATGCTCCAGTTTAGCTGGAGGGGAAGGGAAGTGCCATGGAGAAGGGAGAGAACAATGGGAATAGTTCAGCCATCACTGACATTCCTTGGCTGGCTCCTGCTCCCTCCACGCGCTCAAAGGCCCCAACCTCGAGCAGGCAGGCACTGACTCGCTGCTCTGAGCCTCCTGCCATGTGGCTGAAGTTGAGACTGGCCAAGACCCAGTCTTGAAGCCCTCCTCAGAAGCATCCTGAGGAGGAAGGCCACCTCAGGGCTGCTCTAATTGGGTAAAGAATGGCATGTGAAGAGCTCCCTTGTCTCGTCTTAGCGGGAGCTACCAAGGTATCTCCTGAGACAGAAGAGAAGGTGGTATACCTGTGAGACAGGATGATCTTCTTCATGTTGTCGGCCATGAGGAAATTGTAGAATCGGCGGCACTGGTCCCACTGCATGAAGGTCTCCTGGGCCCTGGAAGAAGCAGAGCAAGTGAGACAGGCCAGGACTGCCATGAGGGGCCATGGGGACAGTGCAGGCGGACTTGCGCCCCTGTGCTGGAGCTCAGCCTTGATGTGCAGCATCACACCCCTGGGGAGAAGCCACAGAGCCCTCTGGAGATGACCCCGCGGGAAGCCTCCAGGGCCAGAAAAGCATGACTGGCAGTTGGTGGCAGGCCTGACCCTCTCCTGGCCTGCGGAGAGTCTGCTCTGACTGTTTCAGTAAATAACCGGGGAGCATAAAGGTGTATGTGAACACAGAACAGAAGCCAAAGCTTCGAGTGGAGAAGGACACACTTCCTGAGAGGCCGCTACCATGTCTGGGACTTCCCTGCACCGTGCGGGTAGAAACGCAAGCAGCGTCATCACAAGCGAGTCACGCCGTCAGAGAGGGGACACTGAACCCGTGCCTAATGTCCTCCTTCTCAACCATCAAGCCCCAGCCTGTGGCTCCTCCACTCGGCTCCTCCTCTCCTGACCTTCAACTCCTGCTGCTGCAGCGCTGAGAGTCACGTCAGGGGTTTTCTCTTGATCCCATTCCGTTCTCCCCTGGCTGAGAACCTGACTGAGGGCATTCCTGCTTTCATTAGTACCTACCTCAGAGAAGAGGGTAAGGAGGGGAGGGAGGGGAGTCCTGGCCATAATGTTACTGTCAGCTGTGCAGAGGATTGTTTAGGTTCAATACCGCGGGTGCTGCTTAGTCAAAGTCCCTGGAGTTCACAAGAATCTAGGGTCCAGGGAAGGTGAGGACAAGGATGCCGGACCAGTGAGCCACATGCTTCTTAAGGATGGAAGTGTCTGCCCGGGATCTAGGTGAGCCACGGAAGAGAGTGGTGGTCGAGTGAGCCACGTGAAACTGTGGCACACGGGGTATCAAGACAGACTGCAAGTGTCACAGAGGGACAGTGTACACGAGGCTGCTATAGTCTCAGGTAGCCTTATGCGGATGAGTGGAGCGCTCACACAGAGAACCTAATTCACGTGAGTACAGAGAATCCCAGAGGAGGGGCTGCTGGGTAGCTCAGTGGACAACGGTTCTTGCTGCTAAGTGACGAACTGAGTTCAACCCACACGGTAGAAGGGGAGAGCTGATCCCCAAAACTGTCCTCTGACCAGGCACGATGGCACACACCTTTAATTCCAGCACTCAGAGGAAGCAAAGGCAAGCAGAACTATGTGAGTTTGAGGCTAGCCTGGTCTAGATAGCAAGTTTTAAGCCAGCCATGGCTGCATACAGAGACCGTGCAAACAACCAAATTGTTCTCTGACCTCTACATGTGTGTTGTGGCATGAATACACACCCAGCCCCAACAACCAACCAACCAACCAAATGTAATTACAGAGAAGAAGATCCCAGAGGTACACTAAGATCATATGAGGTGGGCAGGACCCTGTGATGGGGACCCTGTGGCTACTCAAAACCCCTAGAGGAAAAACTTGCAAAGTGCATTTGTGAGAGCTGCCTGTCAGATGTAAGAAATGAGTTTTACACTTTGGATGTCAGTCAGGGTGCAGATGAGCCTTCCTGCTCCACCTGCCCAGCTGCCATCCAGGGATGAAAAGGCTCCTGCCACCTTAAGCATCTGCAGGAAGAGGAGGTCACACTGGTTTCAAGTATGGAACTTTCCTTCCTTCCCTCAGCCACGGCTGTGAGTCCCAGGCAGCACCAGCTCACAGGGGACAATGTGCTTCTCTGGCCGGCCACAAGAGTCCATGTGGAGGACTGCAGGATCTTGGCCAAATGTCAACCACGCTCTAGAGAATCAATCTACCTTTTCCTCTCCTTACTGTATGAGGCTGATGTGACAACAGGCAATTGTGTGTCTGGAGCTCTTAGAGATCTCAGGGTAGAGCACGTCACGATCCTAGGTTCCTACTTTACTCACTCTGCCTTATTTGAATACCTTACTTTGCTAACTGTGCTGCTCACCTTCAAACAGCAGATGGCGCTATTGCCGCAAAATGCAGGGAAACTTGTTTATTGAGAGGACAGGAGGAGAGGAGAGGGAGGAGGGGAAGAAAAGGACAAATTTGTCACACGCTTCCTATTTATAAAACCCAGTGCTCTCTGAACACGAGGCTAGCATTCACAGCAAGCTGCCTGAAGGGGATCTAGGGGTTCCTAACACCAAAGATGACAGACAGGGTCCTGAACACTGGACCAGCTGTCAGGTGGAAGCAGGGACGGCCCCTCATCTCCAGGCCCCGCTCCCTCAGATCTGGGGGAAGGCTGTCCCCTCATTATCTTTTCTTATCCAAGTGACTGGGCAGGATGGATTCTGGCTAGCTCTAGTTCTATGTGACCATGAACTGGGAGTTGGATAGTTCTCATTGAGCCCAGATAAAGGCAGTATGCATGCCTTTCGGCCACCTACTGAAGGCTCCCACAGGACGAGAGGCTAACCTAGTCCAAAAGGCCAGAGCTAGAGGCTGTTCAGGCCACCAAACCCAACGACTGCTTCACACGGAAACATCTATGAAGTGGGTCTAGAAGGCAGATTCCTGGGCTCCATCAAATGAACACTTCTAGATGTAGGCTCACCACCCGAACGTATTTCTACATGGTCCCCTCAAGTGAGCTTTTTCAACCCTTTCTTATTATTACTGTGTGTGCGTGTGACATGTGTAGGTGCACATGCCATGGCATGCACACGGGGGTCAGAGGACAACTCTATGGCATTGATTTTGGCCAGCTCTGGCTTATGTGGGTTTTGGTGATCAAACTTAGGTCATCAGACTTCTCCAGCAAATGTGTTTACCCACTGGGCCACCTTGCCAGTCACTCCAGTGATTCTCAATGAACTGAGACAGCCCGTAGTTCATCAGACTGGCCTTTGGGGTCCCCTGATCTAAGCCACCCTCCTCATTTTCCAGGGAACAGGAACGATGCTGCTGACAATTAAACTCTGTGGTCAGGCATTGTTCTGAGTACTCCACACACATGAACTCATCCCGAAGAGTCTCCAGGCAGGAAACCAAGGCCTGAGGTACACATCTGCTCCCTAGGCCAGCTTCTCGGGCTAGGATGCTGAGAGATGAATCCTTCAGTGAGGACACTTAGATGACTTCCACAAGTCCCTTCAGTCACTAGCTGAGACTCAACGCTCCTGCGGGATGGAGGGATCTAGGGTCACAAGGCCCAGGGGTCAGGTACTGTTGTTTCCTGTGTTCTCTTGTTAACGTGTAGTTCTGCCATATTCCTGAAATTCAGACACAATCTGAGACTCCCTAGGCCAGCTATTACAGAGGCTTTGGTGATCCAGTTCCAGCTCTGATCCTAAAATACTGTGATGCATCTCAGGGTTAACAAGCATGCTGGGATGACTCTGGTGTAGGACACGGAAGCAGATCCAGTTGAGTCTAAGAGCTGGAAACTTCTGCTCAGTCCGCAAGGTGTTGTTCCCTGGACCTGGTCTGGTATCTTAGGTTAGCTCAATAAACAAGTACTGTCAACTGAAGGACTCAATGGAAGGGGTGTGTGTGTGTGTGTGTGTGTGTGTGTGTGTGTGTGTGTGTGAGACAGAGACAGAGACAGAGACAGAGAGAGACAGAGACAGAGAGACAGACGGAGACAGAGACAGAGAGATGCCGATGACTCACCTCAGCGCGCTGTACCCCTGGCACACACTGACACAGCACAGAACTTTTTCCTGGTTTGCTTGCGTCTCCCCCAGGTATTTGCACACGATGTTGCCACCCAGGCTGAAGCCCACGACGACCAGCTGGGTCTGGGGATATGTCTTCTTGATGTAGTTCACCATGGCTCCAAATTCCCACGTACAGCCTGAGGGCGAAAGGTGAGGTCAGCCGATTACTTCAGATGCAACCAATACTGAAGAAAATGCAAGCTAGAGCGTTGCTAACGGTGCCAACACACTGAAAGAGTGAGACACACTGCACATATGTTAAGAAAGAACAGCCAGGCAGATAGATATCGCTTTTCTGCTACATGGCAGGCGCTCCCTCAGAGAAAACTGGGCATTAGTAGTGGTTGTGAGCAGATGTACACATATCGATAGATTTACAATGCTCTTTTTTTTTTTTTTTTTTTTGGTTTTTCGAGACAGGGTTTCTCTGTGTAGTTTTGCGCCTTTCCTGGAACTCGCTTTGGAGACCAGGCTGGCCTCGAACTCACAGAGATCCGCCTGCCTCTGCCTCCCGAGTGCTGGGATTAAAGGCGTGCGCCACCACCGCCTGGCTTACAATGCTCTTTTAAAGATGGGCCATGATTTACCAGTCTAGGTGCTCTTGGGCATCCCAATAGATCTTCAGGGTGAGTGTAAGCACCTATGTTCATGCACAGATAGGAACACAAGCAAGAATTAAGTCCTTCAGGGACTGATCGGCTTCTTAGCTACAGATTGGGGTGGTATACCCATGTGTACAATGATTCATGATGGTGAGAACCCAAAGGATGTTATTTACAGGATCTTCTTGTCAACTCTGGGAAGGGAAAGGAGATGAACTCCAGTCCAGAGGGGCACCTGGGATGCTCTGTGGGGTTCAGCCAAATGTTCTTGGTGACATAAGGTGCCAAGGGAGGCCAACTCATTCAGAAGCACTCAGAGGGCCCGTGTGAATGGAGAGGGTGTCGGGCCTGGTCTGCCCAGGAGGAATGATCTCAGCTGCTGTCCTCTGGGAAGCCGTCAGAGCCAAGCTACGCCTCTATAGCTTTACTAAGAGAAAGAGGCTGTGGACATTTATAGGCAAAGGACTTAGCATGTTCTTCTAAAGGGCTAAAGCCAGAAATTGAGTAAAGCCTAGCTGAGAAATTACTGGAGGCTAGCAGAAGCATAGAGCACACATGCCAGCCTGGAAAAGTGGATTCACAGTGGGAATGGGAGCTGCTGCCCAGCCACGGGCACAGAGGTTTGATTCCCCTAAATGGCCCAATAGTAGCTTCCAGAATTGGCAAGCGGTGGGGGGTAACACTTTTAGAGCCTAGAACAACTCCCTTCCATCTGTCTGTGCTGTTTGACACAAACTGGAGTCATTTGGGAAGAGGGAACCTTAATTGAGATGATGCCTCCACCAGACTGGGCTGTAGGCAAGTCTGAGGGGCATTTTTTTTGGAGGGGGACTAATGATTGATGTGTGTGTGTGTGGGGTCCAACCCACTATGGTTGGTGCTGGGCAGTTGTACAAAAACCAAGGTGAGTGAGCCATGAAGAGCAAGCCAATAAGTAGCAGCCCTTCACGGTCTCTGCCTCAGTTCCTGCATTGAGGTTCCTGTTTTGAGTTCCTGTCTTGACTTCCCCCAGTGATGTGACTTGGCAGTTAGACGAGGAAATAAACCCTTTCCTTCCCCAAGTTGCTTTTGGCATGGAATTTAACAACAGCAACAGAAACTAAACAAAGGCACATCTACTGTTTTCATCTTTTTCCTTGGGGTGTGTGTGTGTGTGGGGTCTCATGTATCCTAGCCTGCCATCAGACTGTCTGGTGATGGGACCTAAAGGGCATGGATGCTCTTTGGAGGGTCCCCTAGATGGTCTACGTGTACCAGTAGGCCTAATAACCATTTCTCTAACGAAGAAGGAATCTGCTAGGCATTACGGCTCACTCCTGTCACCTCAGCATTTGGGAGGCTGAGGCAGGTTTGTAGTCCAGCTGAGGAAACAGAGCAAGACTTTGTCTCGAAAGAGAAAAAATAAAACAAAGCAGGCCTAATGGTTACACCTTTGTAACCCAGCACCCTAGGGGCATGCACACATGTGTGTATGTTGAAGCAGGATTGCTTGAAGTAGAGGACAGCCTGGGCTATCTAGTGATTTCCAGGCTAGCCTGGACTGCAGAGCAAGACCTTGTCTCACAGAACAAACAGCAGCAAAGTGACCCGCTCTGCACTATATGAGAAAGGACTTTTTTGTTTGTTTGTTTTCAAGACAGGGTTTCTCTGTGCAACTCTGGCTGTCCTGGAACTCGCTCTGTAGACCACGCTGGCTTCGAACTCAGAGATCTGCCTGCCTCTGCCTCCCAAGTGCTGGCATTAAGGGCGTGCATCAAACTTCCCAGCAATAAAGGATTTTTTTGAGGTATGCTCTTGTCTTCTGGGTGATCTCAATCTGTACTTCCTTCCCTTTCTACGTGCAGTAAGCAACCTGCACAGAAGGGGGCGCTGCGCAGCGTTTTAGAATCATCTAAAGTCAAGCAGTTTTCCACATTTCCCTAAAGCAAGGTTTTCCCGGGAGGCCAGTTCCAGGTCGCCATAACCAGACACTCCCTGAGGAGCCTCCCCACCTGACAAAAACAAACAGCTTTCCCTTTCCTTTTTCTGTCTCACTCCCTTTCTGCCTAGCCCAGGCTGGCCTGGAATTCACTAGGTAGCCCAAGCTAAGCTATCTTCAACTTGTGACAATCCTCCTGCCTCAGTCTCCCAAGTGCTGCTATTATAGGTATGAGCCGCCACACCCAGCTTCAAAATCAAACTTTAAATATGCACAGTTGCTTTGTGGTAATGCTCCTCTGTGAAGGGGGAATTAGAAAGCCTGCCTGAAGTTAATTATCATAGCAAAGGGCTGGGGTCAGGCTCAGCGGCAGACATGCCTGTTTGGCAAGTATGTGGCTCTAGGTTTGATTCCCCAGGACTGAAAAAACAAATTAACATCTCTGCAAGAGCGATGCGCTGTCACAGTGAATGGCAGTGTGGTCCACTGCGTGGGAACTTGCTCCAAATGCTTGTTCTTGGGCTCTTGCCCCAAACCTACTAACCCAGGAGCTCCAGAGGCAGGATTACACAGAGAGCTTCAAGCTCAGCTCCTCCTTCAGAGGGCCTAGGAAATGGGCGGAGTCTCCATTTCCAGCCTGATGTCAGGTGATGCTGACATTGCTGGTCCAGGGGTCCACTGGAGAACTACCATCCTGGCTGATAGGGAAGGGGGATGAAAGCCTCAATTCTGTTTCTTTTGTTTTTAAAAGGATAGTGTAGAAAGATGCTCCATGATATTCATAGGTAAGAAAATTTGAATTAAAATAACAAATAGCATTTTTTTTTTTCTTCTGTTGGAATCAGAAAAGATCATCAAATTTGCCAATATCCAGACTGGGGAGGTTGCAGGCAACAGGCTTGCAGGTACGTTCACTGTGAATGAGTGTATGGTGGTGCATGGTGGAACGGAGACCTTGGAATGCATCGTGGTAACATTATTAATGCTTTTGTGGCTGGAGAGATGGCTCAACGGTTAAGTGGACTTGCTGCTCCTGCAGAGAACCCAGGTTCAGTTCCCAGCACTCATATGGCAGCTCACGACCATCCATAACTCCAGTTTCAGGGGATCTTATGTCCTCTTCTGGCCTCTGAGGACCATGCATGTACAGGGTGCACAGACATGCATGCAGGCAAACACCCAAACACACTGGAGTGGTCTGAATCAGAAATGTTGCCCATAGTCTTGCATTTGAACACATGATCCCCAGTTGGTGGTACTGCTTGCAGGTGTTTAGGAGGTGTGGCCTTGTCACTGGAGGCAGGCTTTGAAAGTTTAAAGGCTCATGCTTTGTGTTTATAGTTAAGGATGTGAGCTTCCAACATGCTGCTAGCTACCATGCCAGTCTGCTGCCTTTGTCCCACCATCATGGACACTAACTCTCTAGAATCAGAAGCCCAAATAGACTCTCCTATAAGTTGCCTTGGTCATAGCATTTTATCACGGCAACAGAAAAGCAACCAACACACACACACATTTTTTTTTTTTTAAGTCCTTAAGCTAGGTATGGTGGCATAAACCCAAAATCCTAGCACTTGGGAGGTGGATGCCTATGGCGTGGGAGTGGCGGGGAGGGAGGGTCAGGAGTCTAAGGTTATCATTGGTCACATAGCATGTTCCAGGCCAGCTTGGGCTACATGAGACCATATCTCGAAAACCAGAAAAGGTCTAATTCTTTGAATCATTGACACCAAGGACAGAAGGACTGTGAATTAAGGGCCAGTCTGGGTTACATAGTTAGACCCCGTCTCAAATAAGAACAACAACAACAACAACAACAAAAAACCCCACAGTGTTTGGTCTAGCAATTCCATTTCTGGGAACTTTATGCTGCAGATACAATTGTATGTGTGTGCAAAGATCTATGTACATGGATGTTCCTGGCAACTGCTGCTTGTAGCTGTGAAGACCTTGGAACAACCCCACTTCCACGAGCACTAGAGTAGCAGGCAGGGTACATGAAGCATGTACCGCTGTGAAAGAGAAAGATGATGAAGGATCTGACCTGCTGGGTGAATGACAATCCATCTTCCAGAGGAACCAAAGCAAGGGAGGGAGCAGGAGAGGGCGCCATCCCACATGTGCACTTAGGTTTCAACGGGAAATATATGTGTGCACATATCTAATCGAGTATTTGTGAAAAACTGTGGCAGATACCAACGGGAGAGCCTTGGGTCTCATGTCTAATAAAAACAACCTAGCTAGTTCAAATCTCCAGCCAAGTAAAGATTCCCAAGGCCAGTTTCAACTATGCTACAGAGACCTGACACATTAGTAATGCGACAGCAGTCTATGCTGGGGACATTATTTGCATAAGGAATGGTTCTAAGGGGATTTCTTTTTCTTTTCTTTTCTTTTTTTTTTTTAACACTGTTAAATGTAAAAATCCTTACTTCTCTACCATTTCTTTGGATTTCTGCCTAATATCAGCCTTGGCTAATTACTCCTATCTTTATGCCGTGGTCTAACGTTGAGGGAGCTGCTATTAGATCATAAACTCTACAGATGTCCTTGATCTTGCTCCACGCTGCATCTGTGAGCCTGATGCTTACAGGATGCTTAGTCGGCATAACTCAAG